GGTAGGGCGACTTAGACGGTGGCCGGCGGAGCCAGCTGCGGTCCACGAGCGACTCTGTTGCAGGCGAGACCTGGGATGCTTGCAGCGAGTTTATCCGGTGCAGCTGAACTCACCGGAGAATCCACAGCGGCCGGAACAGTGACGGCAGCTCTTAAACTCATTAGCGCAGTGCGGCTGAGCAGTGTAGTGCGGAAGGAAAGTTTGTCGTGCGATAGGTTTTTTTTTATGCTCTTAAACTCATTAGCTCTTAAACTCTGGCGTAAATTTTTCTCCTGTAACGCTAACACTTTCTTTTGCCTCTTCCGAAATTTCAGTCGTCTTCTAATTTTGCCGCTTTTTATTTTTAATTTTTGTATTTAAAAAGTGTTACATTAGCCTTCACAACAGTAACAATTATTAAACAACTGTAACACTTTATCTTTGACCATAATAGTGTTACGTTAGAAAATATCAAAGGTAACACTAAATAAATAAATGTAACGATAAACTCAAAACTGTTACGATAGAAGACTTTTTTGTAACACTTTACACAAATGTTACAATTTGTTCGTTACAATAGACCTTAAAATGTAGTAGTGTTTCCACCCTTCGTAAATAGAGTCTCAAAATAATTTAAAACCATGCTATTTAAATCCCCCATGCTCGGTCACCCATTGGCCCGACTCGGCATAAAGTCCTTTCATTAAATTTCGTCGTCTCTGTTGTTTGATAGAGTTGTGAAAATACCTGGTATTAATATCTCCTTGTTGCGGCCAAAACTCTTTCGCCCGTTGTTTCCAAAATGCATTTTGCTTTTCTAATAGATCTAGATAGCATGTTCTTTCTCTGGAGAATTCAGCCAGCCCTGCTGCATCTGCCCTGCTTCTATTTCTATCCATCTGCGTTTGCAAGCGTCAATCCTTCACTGAAAACCGCGCCGGAGATGTCGTCCCCATTTACCAAGTTCAACACTACAAAACTGTAGACGATCTAGTAGGATCTGGTTCCGGCACGAACCCCGGGTTTGTTCCACAACATTCTTGCAATCTTTTTCCTTCAGCCAATGGTTTTTGAAATTTGAATCTCGCTTGCCTACGTCATCCTTGTTTCTGACCAAACTTTAGAAAAAGAGCCAAATGGTCATTACTACTTCCAACGATCGACGTGGCCCATGCATCCCCAAACATTGTTAGCCAACCATCATTGACAAGGAAACAGTCATGTTTCTCTTTGACCCATCCATCGGTACCTCGACTTCTTTCCCACGTAAATTGATAACTGTCAAACGGAAAATTCAACAGGCCGCTCCCCCATACTGCATTCCAGAACCCCGATAGCATCCAATGTGGTTGGGGACAACGCCCCCCTCTTCTCGTACTCATGCATAATATCATTATAGTCTCCTACAACTGCCCAGGGAATGCTGCTAGTTGTAGCCAGATTTTGATGGAGAGACCACAACTCACGCCTTCTTTGACGTTCCTGAAAACCATATATAAAATCCCATCAGCCTCCACAACAAATTTTGTGTTCCCATTGTCACCGTTGAATCAATCTAATTCAAAAATGAACTTTCAATTGTTGTATCAACTTCATCCCGCCATAGGAGTGTCAGGACGCCACTCTTGGTGTTGCAATCAACAATGAAATGATGTTGAAAACCTATTGTTTTACAAACATGTGCAATACGAGCATCTCCACATAACGTCTCCATCAAGAATATGATCGACGGATGGAAAGTTGTCGACGTATCCTTTAGTACCTGAACTGTGGCAAGGTTGCCAAGACCTCGGCAGTTCCAAGTAATGCATCCCATCGCTAAAAACGCAGAAGTGACTAAAAGAAAAACCTCCCGACCAAGCTGTCACTATTTCAGAATTACGTGTTAGTATCGGCGACTACCGGCCAACAACTGCTTTGGGAAGCCATAGCATGGTCGCGTTGGTGCTTACACGGCGCGGTGGTGTTGTTCCCATACGATGCGGCGCTAGTTCTAACTTCCATTTCTTATTTATTAGTTTAAACAACTCATAATTGTTCAATTGAGAAAGGAGTTGAAATATAAATACTCAATTTTTTTACATTTTTAATGTGATGAAATAATGAGTAAAATGTAACATCTTACTATTAAAATTTTAAAATACTTATTTCATTCGTAGTTGAATGAGAAATTTTTTTAAAAAAAATTGAGATGCTTAAAGTATTATTTTAAGAAACTCATGTGCGAATTCTTTAAAATCGTGTTCATAGCAATTATGTAGATCAGAAGACTATTTTAACTATTTTATTATATAATTTTTTTTTATCTTATTAATGAAATATATTTTAAAAATAATTTTTTCATAATTCAGGAGATTCCGCTAATTCAACCTAATTAGCTGAGCATAATCAATTTCACTAGATTTAATCGATTCCACCAATTTTAATGTTATCAAACGAGCTCTACTATGGGTTTATTTTGCTTTTGCGTCACGTCATACATGAATAATATGATACCGAAAAAATTCAAATTTTGAAAACTAACATGTATATATATCAATTAAATTAGCCAGTGGTGGACTGGTCGCAGTGACCAGGGGCGCTAGCATTGGTGGTGGGCCCTAATTCAACGCTGTTACGCAAAAAAGATACGGAGTAATTGATTTTGACTTTTTGTTTGTAAGAAATGGTGTATTGTTAGGATGGATTGTTCTCTAAAGTGAGCGATTTGTATGCTACGTAGTGGAGTATGATACTTTTAGTATGATATAAGTCGTTTAGGTGATAAATTTGAAATAAAAAATTATCTATTTGTACACTTTTCCTTGATTATATTCCGTATGTTTTAACTTACTTTTGCAATGTCTAGTACATCATGGAAGTTGCTTGGTTAATGGAAGTTGTCTTTTACTATAAAAAAAGCAGCATAGTAGCATTTAAAACCAGTCATTAGGGAGAATAATTTACACGTAAGTGCCTACGTGCAGGCCCGGTCCTGACATTTCTTGGGCCCGGGGCAATACAAACACAATAGGCCTCGGGGATGGCGTGTAAATATTTATAATATTTTTATATAAAAATATACTCCGTATTAGTAAAATTAAACAATTTTGTCATACAAATATGAGTGTAATTTAACACTTCAAAGAAATCATTAAAGCAGACAATTAGAAAAAAATTATTGAAATATTTGATATGTGACATTCGAGGATACATTGTTCCTTGTTAGAAACTCAATCCAGCTCAGGTCTCCGGTTTACACCCACAAAGGATGCTAAAATCACCACCAAGGTCAACAAAGGGAGAAGGGGCGTCAGCCAACAGTGCTTTTCCGGCCAATTCACGGTCAATTTCCGACGAAACCCACCAAGGAAGAAAGAGAGGCGGACTGGTTCTGGGAATAGGGTTATCATGAATCATCGCAGCAACAGGCAAGAGTCCGCGTTGACCTTTTATCTAATAAATGCATCCCTTCCAGAAGTCGGGGTTTGTTGCACGTATTAGCTCTAGAATTATTACGATTATCCGAGTAATAAAAAATTTTGAATTAGGGAAATACTTGAAAGATATATCGTATAAAGAGTAACCTGTTTCATACGGAGTATTTTAAATCACATTATTACTAGACTAAAACAAGCAGCAAGTTACTAAATTATGAATATTATAGATAGCTCAATCTTTCACTTTAATAAGAGAAACAGAGAAAATTAGTGAAATACTATCAAATAATCAAGAGTATAAATGAGAGAAGTAGAGTAAAAGAACATTTATATGCTAACCCATGATGAATCAAAAGAAATGGTGAATTACGTTCTCAATGAATTCTGATGTGGACGTTTTAATAATGAATTGAAAGTATCTAAAAAATCCATATATTTGACTTTATTTTTAAATTTTTATAAATTTTTAATGTATATAATTAATATTAATATAGATACACATAATCGAGAAATTTATGGGCTCTAGTGGAGCAATGGGCCCTGGGCGCATGCCCCGTTGCCCATGCCCCAGGACCGGCCCTGCCTACGTGGTACTTCATTGGGTGCCAATTATAATTATAATAATATGAGGTAATTATGACCAGTTTCTGTAACGTGGTATCCTAAAGCATATTATCATGTCACATCAAATTGAGGTAAGAGTTAGATTGGTACTCGAAGTTGCATAAAAAGGGTCAAATAAGTCCTTATAGGAGACTCTGTCCGGCCGTCGTCAGTTGGGGCGGTTCTTGGTAGAATTTTTTGACGAAATTTTTGAGCATCTTATTCATTAAGTCTAGTTTACTCATACCAAATTTCAGCTAAAAATTCAACCGGGAAGGCATTCAAATGAATTCTTAAATATAATTGCGCAGTTAAAAGCGCAGTTATCTTCAAGAATTCATTTGAATGCCTTCCCGATTGAAGTTTTAGCTGACATTTGATATGAGTATACTAGACTTAATGAATAAGATGCTAAAAAAAAAATTATCGAAAAAATTCCACCGGGAACCGCCTCAAATGGAGACGGCCGGATAGTAAGGACTTATTTAATTTGACCCTTTTATGCAACTTCGAATACCAATTCGACTCTTACCTCCATCAAAATAGATTAGACTAGATTACACTAGATTTAAGCAGGTCATACTTCCCACACAGAGTAGACTAGAATTAAAGAGAACACACCAAAAAAATTACCTTCAATTAAAAAACATCCTAAGCTAGACTTACTTACTTACTTAAAAGGTATTTATTTGGTCTTACTTACGTCTCAAATCAAATAAGACCAGATTGGACTAGACTTAAACAGACCAGATGTCGACATTTGTAAAATGCACATAGATTAGACATATATATCAGACCAAATCAAAACATTAGACCAAACGAGAAAATTTAGTAAAAATATCATCAATTTATTGCGTCTATATTAGACTTTCTACTCCGTATGATAGAATAATGCTGATTTTTCTTTTTCTTTTGACCAACTAGAGCTGGACCGACCAATTGGATCATACGAGTACTATATATACTTAATTAAGATCGATCGATCGACGTATAGTACCAACTTATTTAATTTTAAACTTTGCAACATAGTCAAAAAATATGGCAGCTTGGTCGCCATGGATAGCCATAATCGTCTTCACAGCAACGCTTTACACATCCTTTACAGGAGTGAAGTCGTCCATTAATGGCGATCAGATTAGCAGCTTGCCGGGGCAACCAGCTAATGTGACTTTCCGGCAGTACTCCGGCTACGTCGAGGTCCGCTCGCAACGGGCTCTTTTCTACTACTTTGTTGAGGCCGAAACTCAGCCAGATTCTAAGCCACTTGTTCTCTGGTTAAATGGAGGTAATTCATTAAGGTCTTTAAGATTTCTGGATACACCATTGGGTGAAGGAACTAGAAATTAAGTAAATTAAGTGCCAGGTTAGGGGACCAGAGTTTAAGGAATTTAAATTGTGGAACCAAAACTTAAAGTTTCATTATACTTCCTATTTTTATTGTTTATAAATTTTTATACATATACATATACATCAGAATATTTTTTACAATGAAGTCAAAGATTCATTATTTTTTGGCTTAAGAATATGATGGAATAAAATAAAATGGCTCATTAAACTGCCTGTGTTTCTTTGTTATGAAGTAGCAGTCAGCCCATGCAATTTTGGAAGCATGGTGGTAAGATGGAAACAGTCTCTCTGTGCTTTAGTATAGAGGTAAGAGTGCATACATCCGACCCCTCTTACCCCACCATAGGTGGGGGAGCCTTTGCGGCATTGGGGTGAATAAAATTATGATACATATAAATCAGAATTTTTTTCTTGGATGGCCCTGTCTCCACCACTGATGAGTGATGACCAATGTATATGCAGGTCCTGGATGCTCATCTGTTGGATATGGAGCTTTCATGGAGAATGGCCCTTTCCGACCTCGTGGGAGAGTCTTAATAAAAAATCCCCAAAGCTGGAATAAAGGTTTTTTTAGGGGGATTTACCTAAATAGGAGTAAATAAACTCTTAATTGCCAAAATAGGACTAAAATTGAAAAATTCCCAAAATAGGAGTTATTATTTGTTGTTGGACATTAACACCCCTGAAACATTGGAAACATACTGCCGCAAGCTGCACAAGCCGGTCCGCCGCCGATCGCCGTTCACCGCCAGCTGTCGTCGGCCGGCCGCCGCCGCCGGCCAACCGCCTCAGAAGTAGCCACCGCTGCAGATCTGGCTGCTGCTAGTGTAGATCTTGCCGCTGCTAGTGTAGATCTGGCAGCCGCCACCATAGATCTGGCCATCTCCGCCGTAAATCTGGCCAGATCTGGTACTCGATCGCCGCCGTTGCAGATCCGGCCGCCACCACCGTAGGTTCGGACTCCGCCACGATAGATCTGGATGCCACCATCATTGATATCAAGATTTATATCAGATTGCCAACATGAGTCGAGAATGACATTTTAATGGCATTTTCAAAGAAAAATATGGCATTTTTGAAGAGTAAAATGCCATCGTCATGGCATTTTTAAAAATGAAATTTGACATTTTTAAAAAAATCAAAGAAGATGAATCTATAGCCATCGTTGAGTGATGAGCATTTTGAATTTACAGAATCTGTGATGAAAAAAAGGAGGGAGAGAGAGAAACATAGAATATAAAGAAGAAGGAGAAAGAAGAGATAGCTAGGGAGAATAACAAGCCTCAATTTCACAGTCGGGATCTGAACCAAAGCTTTCCGCCGGCCGCCGTTGCTCGGCGTGGCTCCTTCGGTGCTAGCCACCGGCCACCACTTAGAAAAATAAGAATACAATCCAACAATTGATATATTCACCATTAAAAATGGAATAGTGCACATACAAGTATTATATATAATGTCAATTCAATCGATTATACACGTCACTATAAAGTAGCTACAAAAAAATGTTTGCAAATCCAAAATCTCCCCATTTGTAGAGGCTTTCCATAGAGAAACATCATTCACCATTGGATTCCATTTCTTCTTCTTCATCATGTATTTCTCTTATCTGTAAATAGACATTTCAGATAAATAGGTAAATATTAGCATTCATGATTTAATTATTAACAAATTTATTATATATCATAATATCATACTCTCTGTCTATCATGAGAATACTAAGTCAAGAGTTAGCACACCTTTACAATTCGCCCCTTTCCAAGCTCCTGAATGTAAATATATCCAAAGTTTGTATTGCTCTATTAATTAATAATTATCATTAAATATACAAGGCATTTCATTTTGTTATTTTTCTCTTGTTTCTCGTAATAATTGCGAATTTCAGAAGATGAATGATTATAGAAATGGCATAGATGTTAAACAAAAGTTACAAAACTATGATTCTAACTCTAATTCATCAGTCAGTGGAGATGAAGTTTATGGGCAAAGAACACCTGGGTTCTTCTCACGCCTATGGGCCTTGATTCTTTTCCGACTTCACAATTTTCTGAATTTTATCAAGCTCCAACACCTTCATACTGCCAATCTTATAGAGATTCTCATTACACAAGATCAACTAATGACTTAAAAAAAGAACACCATATTTTTGTATATGAAGACATCCGGAATAAATTGGATGATTTAAGTAAGAATGTAGTCGATATGAGGCTTAAGAAGTTACCAAACCTACCAATCGAGAGGTTTCAAACTGAAACACTGCCTCCGAAATCGGTTAAGACAATCTCGGTTACCCGACATAGGATGTTATCTCCTATTAAGAGTCATGGGTTTATCCCCCTTAAGAATGCAGAATCCATAATAGAGGCTTCTTCCATAATAATCCAACCATTCTTATAAACATATGAAAAAACAACCCGCTAAGAGTTTCTTAGATGTTTCTCACAGTAAGGGTAGGGATAAATCTGTTTCACTTGTAGATCAGGCGAAAACCAATATTCAGAAAAGGGAAGGGTCAATTCTAGGCAATAATAATAACACGAATGATGTCACTTCAAAGGAACACTATGAGGGGAAGTATGGTAGTAGGAAGAGGTCAAATTGAGAAGAGTGTGGAGAAAGATTAGCCAGTAAGCCCTCCAATTCAGAACAACCATAAGCAGAATGGTTCATTGAATAAAGACGATGAAAGCCCAAAACTCTGTACATCTGAAGAGAAAACAGAAGACCAGTGTGACTTTGTTTATGCTCCTCTTGTAGCACTTCAACCAAAAACAGATAAATTTAAGCAATCAGAAGATATAGAAGACGATCTGAATAGAAGCTATATTGGACATGAAAGAATTTAATTCTCAATATCTTAGACCAACCTCAACATTAGAGTCTTCTGTCTCAGGGGACAGCTACAGTATGTCAGATAACAATGAAAGCTTTGATGGATAACACAGAGTGAAGGATAGGAACTCTTCAATAATACTCATCATAGAAGATGATGCTGAACTATTAGACTCCGCTTCCTCACTTTCTATAGCTAACAGAAACAGGGAGTAAACCAGTGCATTCATGTGTGCTGACATGAAGGGCTCAACCTATTGAGAATTGGAAAATATTCAACGTATTTTCAGAAATGCAGATTTGACAAGAAATGACAAGTCTTTTTCAATCGAGACTCACAATATCATATCTGCCAATCTCTTTGACTAGCTAAAGTTGCATAAAAACGGGTCTAACAAAAGCTTAAAAATAATGTATCTGGCAATCTGTGATTAAAAAAGATTAGTGAATAATGTCTTAAAAATATATATATAGCAATTACTTTTTACTTAGTTGTTAGTTTTCATCATATATATTACATTATACTAAATTATTTTCATCATATTTTAGTAGTTATATTTTACGGAGTATTATTGTTTTCTTGTTTAGTAACTGGACCACCTACTAAAACTCATGACTTACTTTTCATTCATTTTTTGTTTGCAACTCCTGTCCCAAATTGAAATGGGAAGGATCATTTTCTTCATATTGAGGTGTTTCTTCTTTTAAAAAGTTGCTTAGTAGAAAAGTCGTAAACCTCTCTACTTTTCCTTAATTTTCAAACTTAGATCATATCATTGTGCAGACAATGAAAAATTATCATTTATGCAAGTCAAAATGTTGCTACATCAATTCAATTAATCGGCAAACATTCTGATTTTAGCACGAATAATAACCTAAGTATCACCTAACCTGTTTAACAAGCTCCAATCAAATAATCATAGAGATCGTATGTAATCGAATAGAATGCAAAATATATTTAACGTATGGAGGAGTTACAGCTGTAGCATATTCACCTCCTCTGTGGCATTTCTTCGATCAACTGGCGTGTGACTACAGATAAGTTGAAGCTTCACCTGCCACTACAAAAAGTGTAAATGTTAGAAACATGTTCCAAAGGAATCCTAACTGAACATAATGAAAAAAAAAACCAGGATTAACGAAAAAAAGACAGGAATCCTAATTGAACATAACGAAAAAAAGCCAAGAAATATCCCACACCAAGAACGTATGGAGGGGTTACCGATGTAGCTTCAATCAAAGACAGCCGTTCGCGTCGCTTGGTGGTGATGGTATGATGGCGGTTGCAGCATCGCAAGGGCGGCGACGGAGGCCGGCCTTGGTGGGGTCCGGCGGGCTTCAAAGCGTACCTTCTCTGACCAGGTGGTAGGGCGACTTAGACGGTGGCCGGCGGAGCCAGCTGCGGTCCACGAGCGACTCTGTTGCAGGCGAGACCTGGGATGCTTGCAGCGAGTTTATCCGGTGCAGCTGAACTCACCGGAGAATCCACAGCGGCCGGAACAGTGACGGCAGCTCTTAAACTCATTAGCGCAGTGCGGCTGAGCAGTGTAGTGCGGAAGGAAAGTTTGTCGTGCGATAGGTTTTTTTTTATGCTCTTAAACTCATTAGCTCTTAAACTCTGGCGTAAATTTTTCTCCTGTAACGCTAACACTTTCTTTTGCCTCTTCCGAAATTTCAGTCGTCTTCTAATTTTGCCGCTTTTTATTTTTAATTTTTGTATTTAAAAAGTGTTACATTAGCCTTCACAACAGTAACAATTATTAAACAACTGTAACACTTTATCTTTGACCATAATAGTGTTACGTTAGAAAATATCAAAGGTAACACTAAATAAATAAATGTAACGATAAACTCAAAACTGTTACGATAGAAGACTTTTTTGTAACACTTTACACAAATGTTACAATTTGTTCGTTACAATAGACCTTAAAATGTAGTAGTGTTTCCACCCTTCGTAAATAGAGTCTCAAAATAATTTAAAACCATGCTATTTAAATCCCCCATGCTCGGTCACCCATTGGCCCGACTCGGCATAAAGTCCTTTCATTAAATTTCGTCGTCTCTGTTGTTTGATAGAGTTGTGAAAATACCTGGTATTAATATCTCCTTGTTGCGGCCAAAACTCTTTCGCCCGTTGTTTCCAAAATGCATTTTGCTTTTCTAATAGATCTAGATAGCATGTTCTTTCTCTGGAGAATTCAGCCAGCCCTGCTGCATCTGCCCTGCTTCTATTTCTATCCATCTGCGTTTGCAAGCGTCAATCCTTCACTGAAAACCGCGCCGGAGATGTCGTCCCCATTTACCAAGTTCAACACTACAAAACTGTAGACGATCTAGTAGGATCTGGTTCCGGCACGAACCCCGGGTTTGTTCCACAACATTCTTGCAATCTTTTTCCTTCAGCCAATGGTTTTTGAAATTTGAATCTCGCTTGCCTACGTCATCCTTGTTTCTGACCAAACTTTAGAAAAAGAGCCAAATGGTCATTACTACTTCCAACGATCGACGTGGCCCATGCATCCCCAAACATTGTTAGCCAACCATCATTGACAAGGAAACAGTCATGTTTCTCTTTGACCCATCCATCGGTACCTCGACTTCTTTCCCACGTAAATTGATAACTGTCAAACGGAAAATTCAACAGGCCGCTCCCCCATACTGCATTCCAGAACCCCGATAGCATCCAATGTGGTTGGGGACAACGCCCCCTCTTCTCGTACTCATGCATAATATCATTATAGTCTCCTACAACTGCCCAGGGAATGCTGCTAGTTGTAGCCAGATTTTGATGGAGAGACCACAACTCACGCCTTCTTTGACGTTCCTGAAAACCATATATAAAATCCCATCAGCCTCCACAACAAATTTTGTGTTCCCATTGTCACCGTTGAATCAATCTAATTCAAAAATGAACTTTCAATTGTTGTATCAACTTCATCCCGCCATAGGAGTGTCAGGACGCCACTCTTGGTGTTGCAATCAACAATGAAATGATGTTGAAAACCTATTGTTTTACAAACATGTGCAATACGAGCATCTCCACATAACGTCTCCATCAAGAATATGATCGACGGATGGAAAGTTGTCGACGTATCCTTTAGTACCTGAACTGTGGCAAGGTTGCCAAGACCTCGGCAGTTCCAAGTAATGCATCCCATCGCTAAAAACGCAGAAGTGACTAAAAGAAAAACCTCCCGACCAAGCTGTCACTATTTCAGAATTACGTGTTAGTATCGGCGACTACCGGCCAACAACTGCTTTGGGAAGCCATAGCATGGTCGCGTTGGTGCTTACACGGCGCGGTGGTGTTGTTCCCATACGATGCGGCGCTAGTTCTAACTTCCATTTCTTATTTATTAGTTTAAACAACTCATAATTGTTCAATTGAGAAAGGAGTTGAAATATAAATACTCAATTTTTTTACATTTTTAATGTGATGAAATAATGAGTAAAATGTAACATCTTACTATTAAAATTTTAAAATACTTATTTCATTCGTAGTTGAATGAGAAATTTTTTTAAAAAAAATTGAGATGCTTAAAGTATTATTTTAAGAAACTCATGTGCGAATTCTTTAAAATCGTGTTCATAGCAATTATGTAGATCAGAAGACTATTTTAACTATTTTATTATATAATTTTTTTTTATCTTATTAATGAAATATATTTTAAAAATAATTTTTTCATAATTCAGGAGATTCCGCTAATTCAACCTAATTAGCTGAGCATAATCAATTTCACTAGATTTAATCGATTCCACCAATTTTAATGTTATCAAACGAGCTCTACTATGGGTTTATTTTGCTTTTGCGTCACGTCATACATGAATAATATGATACCGAAAAAATTCAAATTTTGAAAACTAACATGTATATATATCAATTAAATTAGCCAGTGGTGGACTGGTCGCAGTGACCAGGGGCGCTAGCATTGGTGGTGGGCCCTAATTCAACGCTGTTACGCAAAAAAGATACGGAGTAATTGATTTTGACTTTTTGTTTGTAAGAAATGGTGTATTGTTAGGATGGATTGTTCTCTAAAGTGAGCGATTTGTATGCTACGTAGTGGAGTATGATACTTTTAGTATGATATAAGTCGTTTAGGTGATAAATTTGAAATAAAAAATTATCTATTTGTACACTTTTCCTTGATTATATTCCGTATGTTTTAACTTACTTTTGCAATGTCTAGTACATCATGGAAGTTGCTTGGTTAATGGAAGTTGTCTTTTACTATAAAAAAAGCAGCATAGTAGCATTTAAAACCAGTCATTAGGGAGAATAATTTACACGTAAGTGCCTACGTGCAGGCCCGGTCCTGACATTTCTTGGGCCCGGGGCAATACAAACACAATAGGCCTCGGGGATGGCGTGTAAATATTTATAATATTTTTATATAAAAATATACTCCGTATTAGTAAAATTAAACAATTTTGTCATACAAATATGAGTGTAATTTAACACTTCAAAGAAATCATTAAAGCAGACAATTAGAAAAAAATTATTGAAATATTTGATATGTGACATTCGAGGATACATTGTTCCTTGTTAGAAACTCAATCCAGCTCAGGTCTCCGGTTTACACCCACAAAGGATGCTAAAATCACCACCAAGGTCAACAAAGGGAGAAGGGGCGTCAGCCAACAGTGCTTTTCCGGCCAATTCACGGTCAATTTCCGACGAAACCCACCAAGGAAGAAAGAGAGGCGGACTGGTTCTGGGAATAGGGTTATCATGAATCATCGCAGCAACAGGCAAGAGTCCGCGTTGACCTTTTATCTAATAAATGCATCCCTTCCAGAAGTCGGGGTTTGTTGCACGTATTAGCTCTAGAATTATTACGATTATCCGAGTAATAAAAAATTTTGAATTAGGGAAATACTTGAAAGATATATCGTATAAAGAGTAACCTGTTTCATACGGAGTATTTTAAATCACATTATTACTAGACTAAAACAAGCAGCAAGTTACTAAATTATGAATATTATAGATAGCTCAATCTTTCACTTTAATAAGAGAAACAGAGAAAATTAGTGAAATACTATCAAATAATCAAGAGTATAAATGAGAGAAGTAGAGTAAAAGAACATTTATATGCTAACCCATGATGAATCAAAAGAAATGGTGAATTACGTTCTCAATGAATTCTGATGTGGACGTTTTAATAATGAATTGAAAGTATCTAAAAAATCCATATATTTGACTTTATTTTTAAATTTTTATAAATTTTTAATGTATATAATTAATATTAATATAGATACACATAATCGAGAAATTTATGGGCTCTAGTGGAGCAATGGGCCCTGGGCGCATGCCCCGTTGCCCATGCCCCAGGACCGGCCCTGCCTACGTGGTACTTCATTGGGTGCCAATTATAATTATAATAATATGAGGTAATTATGACCAGTTTCTGTAACGTGGTATCCTAAAGCATATTATCATGTCACATCAAATTGAGGTAAGAGTTAGATTGGTACTCGAAGTTGCATAAAAAGGGTCAAATAAGTCCTTATAGGAGACTCTGTCCGGCCGTCGTCAGTTGGGGCGGTTCTTGGTAGAATTTTTTGACGAAATTTTTGAGCATCTTATTCATTAAGTCTAGTTTACTCATACCAAATTTCAGCTAAAAATTCAACCGGGAAGGCATTCAAATGAATTCTTAAATATAATTGCGCAGTTAAAAGCGCAGTTATCTTCAAGAATTCATTTGAATGCCTTCCCGATTGAAGTTTTAGCTGACATTTGATATGAGTATACTAGACTTAATGAATAAGATGCTAAAAAAAAAATTATCGAAAAAATTCCACCGGGAACCGCCTCAAATGGAGACGGCCGGATAGTAAGGACTTATTTAATTTGACCCTTTTATGCAACTTCGAATACCAATTCGACTCTTACCTCCATCAAAATAGATTAGACTAGATTACACTAGATTTAAGCAGGTCATACTTCCCACACAGAGTAGACTAGAATTAAAGAGAACACACCAAAAAAATTACCTTCAATTAAAAAACATCCTAAGCTAGACTTACTTACTTACTTAAAAGGTATTTATTTGGTCTTACTTACGTCTCAAATCAAATAAGACCAGATTGGACTAGACTTAAACAGACCAGATGTCGACATTTGTAAAATGCACATAGATTAGACATATATATCAGACCAAATCAAAACATTAGACCAAACGAGAAAATTTAGTAAAAATATCATCAATTTATTGCGTCTATATTAGACTTTCTACTCCGTATGATAGAATAATGCTGATTTTTCTTTTTCTTTTGACCAACTAGAGCTGGACCGACCAATTGGATCATACGAGTACTATATATACTTAATTAAGATCGATCGATCGACGTATAGTACCAACTTATTTAATTTTAAACTTTGCAACATAGTCAAAAAATATGGCAGCTTGGTCGCCATGGATAGCCATAATCGTCTTCACAGCAACGCTTTACACATCCTTTACAGGAGTGAAGTCGTCCATTAATGGCGATCAGATTAGCAGCTTGCCGGGGCAACCAGCTAATGTGACTTTCCGGCAGTACTCCGGCTACGTCGAGGTCCGCTCGCAACGGGCTCTTTTCTACTACTTTGTTGAGGCCGAAACTCAGCCAGATTCTAAGCCACTTGTTCTCTGGTTAAATGGAGGTAATTCATTAAGGTCTTTAAGATTTCTGGATACACCATTGGGTGAAGGAACTAGAAATTAAGTAAATTAAGTGCCAGGTTAGGGGACCAGAGTTTAAGGAATTTAAATTGTGGAACCAAAACTTAAAGTTTCATTATACTTCCTATTTTTATTGTTTATAAATTTTTATACATATACATATACATCAGAATATTTTTTACAATGAAGTCAAAGATTCATTATTTTTTGGCTTAAGAATATGATGGAATAAAATAAAATGGCTCATTAAACTGCCTGTGTTTCTTTGTTATGAAGTAGCAGTCAGCCCATGCAATTTTGGAAGCATGGTGGTAAGATGGAAACAGTCTCTCTGTGCTTTAGTATAGAGGTAAGAGTGCATACATCCGACCCCTCTTACCCCACCATAGGTGGGGGAGCCTTTGCGGCATTGGGGTGAATAAAATTATGATACATATAAATCAGAATTTTTTTCTTGGATGGCCCTGTCTCCACCACTGATGAGTGATGACCAATGTATATGCAGGTCCTGGATGCTCATCTGTTGGATATGGAGCTTTCATGGAGAATGGCCCTTTCCGACCTCGTGGGAGAGTCTTAATAAAAAATCCCCAAAGCTGGAATAAAGGTTTTTTTAGGGGGATTTACCTAAATAGGAGTAAATAAACTCTTAATTGCCAAAATAGGACTAAAATTGAAAAATTCCCAAAATAGGAGTTATTATTTGTTGTTGGACATTAACACCCCTGAAACATTGGAAACATACTGCCGCAAGCTGCACAAGCCGGTCCGCCGCCGATCGCCGTTCACCGCCAGCTGTCGTCGGCCGGCCGCCGCCGCCGGCCAACCGCCTCAGAAGTAGCCACCGCTGCAGATCTGGCTGCTGCTAGTGTAGATCTTGCCGCTGCTAGTGTAGATCTGGCAGCCGCCACCATAGATCTGGCCATCTCCGCCGTAAATCTGGCCAGATCTGGTACTCGATCGCCGCCGTTGCAGATCCGGCCGCCACCACCGTAGGTTCGGACTCCGCCACGATAGATCTGGATGCCACCATCATTGATATCAAGATTTATATCAGATTGCCAACATGAGTCGAGAATGACATTTTAATGGCATTTTCAAAGAAAAATATGGCATTTTTGAAGAGTAAAATGCCATCGTCATGGCATTTTTAAAAATGAAATTTGACATTTTTAAAAAAATCAAAGAAGATGAATCTATAGCCATCGTTGAGTGATGAGCATTTTGAATTTACAGAATCTGTGATGAAAAAAAGGAGGGAGAGAGAGAAACATAGAATATAAAGAAGAAGGAGAAAGAAGAGATAGCTAGGGAGAATAACAAGCCTCAATTTCACAGTCGGGATCTGAACCAAAGCTTTCCGCCGGCCGCCGTTGCTCGGCGTGGCTCCTTCGGTGCTAGCCACCGGCCACCACTTCTCGACGTGGCTCCTTCGCCGTTCGCCGTTCGCCGCCGCTCGCTAATGTTTGCCGCTGCCATTGCTTGTCTTTGCTTGTGGCTCCATTGCAACTCAATTCTGTTCTCGCATCTAAGCTCCCGTTGAAGACTTCAGTCTTCAAACCGATAAGAGAGAGAGCGAGTAGACTTGATGGGTGTTGAACCGTAAAACTGAATTGGAGGGACATAAGTGGTATAATGGTCCTATTTAGGGAATAAGAATATACATACTCCTATTTTGGAATTTGAGCAACATTTTAGTCCTATTTAGGACAAAATACTCTTTTTTTTTGCGAGGGAATATATGTTTTTTCACTTCTTCAAAAAGATAATTATAATAATCTCTTCTACCACGTTTCATTCTCTCTGTAATGGTGAGATCTTGACTGTTTTGAAACATACTTAATTGGGTACGTATGTAATTGATGTGCAGAGGCAAACATGTTGTATCTGGAATCCCCCGCTGGAGTGGGGTTCTCTTATTCTCTCAATCAATCCTACTATGCTTACGTGAATGATGATATGACAGGTTTTTTTTTCTTTTTTTTTTCCTTTTTTTTACTCTAGGGTCTTGGGGAGAGGGACCGGGGGTCTGGAGTAATCAGATCTGAAACTCACTCCATTAAATTTCAAACCCTTATGTGTCTAGCGGGTTTCGAACTCGAGACCTCTCACTAGGCAGGGTATACTAACCTCACATCTAGCCGGCCGAATGCTTGGTTTATGACAGGTTCTCTTATGTTAGATTCTTTTAAAAATTGTTCTTTGTTGTCTCAAATGTAGAGTTTTTGTTAAAGTATTTGTCCCACGAAAACTATAAAACAATATAATAACACTATATGAGGCTTCGGGTCTTAACAGTTTTTCAAAATTGACGATTATTTACTACATCATAGTCTCATGGTAATTAAAATTTAAAATTGAACATAAATTATTATAATTAACTAACTAATACTCCCTCCGTCCCGCTATTAACTTCCTACTTTCCTTTTTGGGTCGTCCCAAAATAATCTTCTCATTTCCCTAAATGGAAAGTTATTCTACATCAAAATAGTGTCAAACAGTGCAAAACAATGTCAAACAGTGTCTAAACAGTGCCAAACAGTGTCTAAACAGTAAAGTCAAATTTATTTCCTAAATATGTGTGTAGGTCAAAGTAGGAACTTAATAAAGGGATGGAGGGAGTAATGTTGACAATGTTTTTGTTGACAATGTTATTGAAAGAATGGCAAAAAAAGACTACTAGCTGCTAGTGGTGGGAAACGAGTACAGGAACCGCGGGTAGGGCCGGGTAATACAATATCGGGCCGGGTTGGGACCGGGTCCAAATTTTGGAAAACTCAAACGGTTCGGTTCGTGGCGGATCTTTAAAAGCTTAGGAACTCAACGGGTCTTAAAGTTTGAAAAAACGGGTACCCAGACGGACCCGTTTTATAATGTTATTTTAAAGAACTCTATTACATTTAATGAAAAGAAAATTCACAATATTAAAAAGAGTTTTGAAGTCCATATAAACTCTTAAATTATATTCTCCAATTTTGTATTCCAAATACATCAAACTTTCTTTATTTAATTTTTTTGTAAACGAAGACTCTTACTCAATGAAGTGTGACATATATCTTAATTTTACCTATATTTTAAAATTTAGTAAGCTTTAAATTGATTTCATAGACAACTATGTATGGCAACTAGTTTAGTTTCATCTGACTTTATGGTGATATCTTTTTAGTTTATGGATAATGATGTCTACATATCTACATTTTAAAATTTGGTGTTATTTAATTTGGGTGGTTGTGTGCTGTTTAATTTAAAGATTTTTGGTTAAATATTTTATTAACTAATTTAAAATGTTGTTATATTTTTACTCCCTCTGTCCCATTTTATAAGATATCTTTACTATTCACTCGGTCAACACAAATCACTCTGAATCTCTTACTTTATATATCAAAGTTTTATGAAATTTGAAATATTTTTTGCAGGTTTTGTAGCGGTTTGAATGTAGTTTCTGAATATGTAATTTTTTTTCTAAAAATAATTTGAGTGCAGACAGGGATCTGTTTGCTTTATCGCAGGTCAAACATCGTAAACCGAAAAGTATCTTATAATTCGGGACGGGTGGAGTATTTCAATTTGTACTATATTATGGCGACGTTGTACTTAATTAGTTTGAGAATGTTATAACTACTACATACTTTGCTAGCTTCTTTTACAAAACAAAAATAAGAACCGAGAACTCGGACCGAACTGACCCGTTTCAAATGGGACGGGTGAGGTCCGGTTCCTATTTCAAAACTTGGAATACCCGGACCGAACCTACCTGTTAAATGGAACCGGCGGTTCTTGAAAATTTATCAATTACCTGGACTGACCTGGACTGTGCCCACCCCTACTACTAACTTTTAAGTGATTAAAGTTATGTGGAATTACATAGCATCATCTTACATCGTAGCATCGCACCATTAACTTCGTCCCTGCACCAGTTCATCTCAATTGCACAATCCATTCTCATCTTCCACTTTCGCCGCCGCGGCTCATCTTCTACAACATGCAATTCGAAATAAAAAGACAAACAAAATAAAATGGAATTAAACACAATTCACTCATCTTCTTCCAAACCCTAGACTCTCTTACACTCCCTGACGGTGGCTCGGGAGCGAGACGAGTCCGCCGTTCATCCGCCTCAATAGTCATGCTTTTGTATTGATTGACGATATCCTCCATTGATATTCCTTGTTGTTGAATTGAACCCAAGCTCCGCCACAACTTATCCGCCTTTTCTTTGTTTACCCTCGCCCATCGATCAGAAACAGCAGCAGCAGACGAGCCACAACCGCCAAACCGCTACATCCACCGATGACCTCTCTTCGTCAATGACAAAAGCGGAAGAACAAAACCCTAGAGAGGGAGAGACCGCTTCACACTCGCCTCTAGCTTCACGAACTAGCTTTAGATACTATTGAAACGGGTTATCAATTAACTCATGTAATATGAATTAGAGTATTTCCATCCTAGTTAAATTTGTTTCTTTAATTGAAAAGTGTCAAAGTTTTTTGTACAACATAAAAGGAAATTAAAGTTGGTAAATTTCAAGTTTTGGTACACTTTATAATTATATACGGAGTGTATATTATGTTTTCAAAACTAAAGCTTCTAAATTATGAGGCTTAAATGCTTAATCCTAGCTTCATCTTTGGCATGCAGCAAGAGACAATCTGGATTTTCTGAAAAGGTGGTTCCACAAGTTCCAAAAGTACCGGGGACGAGAGTTTTTCATTACTGGAGAAAGTTATGCAGGTAAGCTAGACAATTAGTGTATGCAATCCGGCCAACTTGCTTCAAACTTTATTGGTGGACGCATTTTCGGGTGTGCTTCATCGAATAAATTTAAATAAATATGGCGTCTAATTGAATACGTAGTATATGTTTAGTAAACATTTGGCGAAATTAAGTGAACTCAGGTAAGCGTGAGAGAATTGAATTGTGATTAATTAAAAGAAATACTTATATATATAATGACTAAGATTAAGATTGTTTACAAAATATGACTAGTGATTAAAGTAGTAATAGAATCATAGTAACGCATGTTCAATTTTTAATCATAAGTTACTATGAGACTACCTTGTAGTAACTATTCCGTATTAGTCATATTTGTGTAAATGAGTTTTATTTTAGTCATATTTTTTTAAAAAACAACCATTAAAATGAAAATGGAAATATGTATGGACATAAATAATGAAAATGGAAATATAATGCTCCCTAAATGATGGAACATGTAGGAAGCATTAATGTATATCTAAATGTACCAATTCAATAAGAATGTTAATGGTCCAAATGAAACACTATATGTAACTAAAGTTGTAGATTAAAGATATACTCTATACTTTAAAGATATAATTGGTCCAATAAACCAATTCAATATAAGTTGTATATTTTATTATAATGTTTGCTGCACTTTCCTATTTTGGATGTAATTAAAAATTTGCTACAATTTTCATTTTTGGTAAGTTTTTCATATAAAAATACTTAATTACCCTTATTTTTTTACTTTTTATCTTCTCTTTCATACTTTTTCATTATCTCTTCTACATTTTCTACACTATTCATTACTCCTACTATTTTATCCTTAAAGAATGTACTCAAACATATTGTAGTGAACATTAAAATATGGAGAGAGTATGCATGACACATGAAGTTAGATGTTATGCATTACTCAGCAAAGTAGACTTTATAATTAGTTTATGTCTTGTATCAAAGCTTCTACAGAATCTCTTGATAATTATACTACTACTACTATTATTAAGGAAAATGTAATTTAATAATCCAACTTTTACTCGGTCTTCATCTAACGGTCCGACTTATTATTCAAAATCCATTAAAAATCCCAACTTTGCCTATCATATTCCCTAATCGGTCCCGACCTCAGATTTACCGGTTGCAGCACATTTTATATTTATAACTACCAGTAGCCCAAATTTATTGTCCGACGGTCCTCCTCCCTCGTCGCTTGCTTGGTATCTACCTTCTCGCTGTTCTTGACCTCAGAACAGCTGGAGCTGGTTGGAACGATGGATGGCGGCAAGGCCATGGGAGAACAAATTGATGGAGCAAAGTCATCAAACTAAAACCCAAACCGATGCAATAGAAACAACTCCAAACTCCAAGAAGACTTGCTTCGTCGATTCTTCCTCCAAGGAAAATCATATTGAACCATTCTCTGTTAGAGTAAAAAAGAACAACGTAACCAAACGGATTTCAGCCAAACGTTCATCTTCTAGCCCTAGTTCTGAATTCTGATATGACGAGAGCCATGTTGAGAGCTCCGCTTCTTCTTCACTCTGCACATCCACAAATCAAATTCAGGGAACTCAGCGGATAGATCGGAGTAGAAGAACAGCGTAGGCCGAATTATATGAGCTTGACTCAGTCAACTAAGGAGAAGCAGAGAAATAGCAGATTCCTTACACAGTCCATGGATGAGTTTTAGTTTCGTAACCTTCATAAATCTGGCGATTTCAGTAAAGCAGGTTCTGATCTTTGGTCTGCAAATTTGTCTAGGCCCTTCTGTCCACCTACTCGAACGGCAACATATCAGAGAAGCCAATATTTTAAAAAAATTACTGCCCTAGCCGGTAACAAGTCCTCGGGACTGATTAGGGAATATGATAGGCAAAGTTGGGATTTTTAATGGATTTTTAATAAGTTGGACTGTTAAATGAAGACCGGGTAAAAGTTGGATTATTAAATTCCATTTTTCCTTATTATTATTAGTTATATTATCATCGTCATGATCTTCTCATCTTCATCTTTACTATTGTGATTATTACTGAGCAAATCCTAACATTACATTGGTATTATGCCTACCTGGCATGCCAGGGCATTATGTTCCACAACTTGCTCAACTCATCAAAAAATCGAAGGCAAAAATTAATCTCAAGGGAATTGCGGTGAGTAAATATATATTATATTCAAGCTGGATATATTATATATATTATATAATCAGTCTGGTAATTTTTTCATAGTATAGATTTACTGAGGGAAAGGTGGATACTTATGTGAATAAATTTCAGATTGGGAACCCTGATTTGGAGTTCAACACAGATCTCAATGCTGTGGGACAGTATTATTGGTCTCATGGATTAATATCAGATTCTACATTTGAACTTCACAATAAAGTCTGTAACACATCAACCATGCGAAGGCAATATAATTCTGGAAAGCTTACGCCTCGTTGCGTTGAAATAAACGACCAAATCAATGCTGAAATTGGAGAGTATATTGACGTTTATGATGTGACCCAAGATGTGTGTCTTTCCCAACAATCAAACAAGTTTACTACATTGGTACGTACTAAATAAGTAATTTGACAAAATGACATAATAATCTATTTAAGATGGAGTACGTATAATATAATGTGATCTAGTTATGATCAAGAAAGTCATAAAATTTATAAAGCGAGAGAAGAACCTAGTACGTAGTAGTAGATAATTGTGCCAATAAGTATTATTTTTTCAGTTGAGATTTAATTGATTTTAACGGTATGAGAATACTTTTTTTCTCCGGGGTCTGGTGGGGTGTTGGAGTAATCAAGGCTAAAACTAACTATATTGAGTTTTGAACCCTAGCAGGTTTTGAATTGAACTCGAGACCTCTCACTAAACACGGTAACCTCACAACCATCTGGACTAATTTATTTTAAGTAGTTAAGCTTGTATGTACAACAAATTAGGCAATCACTTTTTCTATGCACTACAAAAAACATTCAATTTGTCTCAGAATTTGTTAAGGATCCCAGTGCAAAAATTTTCTAACGGTTTTGTTAGGGATTTTGTTAGGGATGATCTTATCCCGGCCTGACAAAAATGAAAAATCTTGTTAGGAAAAAAAATTGTGACAACTTTTATTAGGGATTTGTTAGGGAATGATTCCTAACCATCTGTCACTCAGCACCCCATTGGCAAAGTTTGTGAGGGATTGCTATCCTAGCTAGGGGTGAGCGTGGGACGGTACGGGACGGTTATTTCAAAAAACCTGTCCCGTTCCAAAGTACGGTTCTTTTTAAAATCAAGAACTGGTACCGTCCCGCAGATATGTAGAACCTGTCCCGTTCCGTACCAATTTTCGGTCCGGTCCGGTACGGTTTGGTACGGTTCTTAAATAACTAAATAACCCCCATGAAATTTAAAAACTTTAGATTTTAACATTTATAAATAACTCTACAAAAATTGAAGAGAAGAACTTGCAAGATTATATTAGCCTTGTAGGTGAGCCGAATTGAGGAGGAACACCAAAGGCGATTAGTTCTGTCATTCCTCACTTTTGGACTTTTTGGTCTGCTAGAGGATATGTTGTCGACTGAATTAGGTTTAAGAGTTTTTGTTCTATTTACGTAGCATTATTTATACTCCGAATCATTTAGTGTTTTTGTTTTAATAATTGGATTGGGCCCAAAGAAGATGTAAGAGTAATATACGGACAATTATACTCGGTATATAATATATTATATTATATATAAAAATTATTATTATATTATAACACTAGTTTTCGGGACAATTCGGGACGGTACGAGACGGTTCGGTTCGGTACGGTTCTGGGACGGTTCCGGTACGGTTCTCACTAAGAACCGGTACCGTACCATATTATTAAAAAAACTCGGTACGGTACGGTACGGTATTACATTTTTCCGGTTCTATCGGTTCTGGAACGGTTCGGGACGGTTCTTCGGCACGGAACGGGAATTTCCAGATCCGCGCTCAGCCCTAATCCTAGCAAAACAATGAACCGGTTTTTTAACAATTTGTCCCAGAAATTTATCACTAAAATCATACCATTTTTTAAAAATTCAACATTATGGAATCGATATGAATTGTATATAAAATCGTTTTATAATCATATAAAATCATTTTATAATCATTATTAATTCCGATTTTACCATTTTTAAAATCGCAGATAGTATTCAGCATAACCAAACATGGCCCAAATCACTTAGTCCAGCAGAATAAACTAAAGATGAATATTTTGAATACATCAAACACGGCCCAAATTGCTCAATGTACAGTACATACCAGGCCACAGATATAGCGTGAGGGGAGGAGAAGTTTCCTTGATTCATCCGGTGTGGGATAGTTGGAAAGTTGAGAAAATAGAACAACAAAAATGCTTGAGGTACACACTTTGTGTACACACTTTGTGTACACTCGTCTGTCTCTTAAGAAAATTTTGTCTGTCACAGACAATTCACATATGAGTTGTCTGTGACAGACAAAATTTTCTTAA